GTGTGTGTGTGTGTGTGTGTGTGTGTGTGTGTGTGTGTGTGTGTGTGAGTGTGTGAGAGTGTGTGAGAGAGAGTGAGCCAGCTGTTCCTTGTCAATCCTGACCAGCTGGCATGCCAGGAGAGGATCACTGATACCGCAGACTTAAAGGCTATTTCAGGACGTGCTGTGTGCAACAGTCTCCTCTCCTACCATCTCTTCTTTCTGTGCGTTTCCTCTCTCCTTCTCTCGTCTCCTCTGCTAATCGTACTCCTTTCCTTTATTTCATTTTCCTTTCTGGCCTCATCTCTATTCCTCATGACTCCTGCTACTACTGTTTGAGACTGTCCCACTCCCCACTGCTGTTCTCTGTGTGAACCCAGCCCTGGTGACTCATTGTGTCCACTACCCTGCTGGTCGGTTGCCCGGGCTGAATTTTGAGTTTTATGTCTGTGTGATTCTATCTTTCTATTAAAATGAAATTGATATCGCACCTTCAAAAGAGATGAGCAGGTTGCTTACATTGCACAGGTCTTAAAGCTCCTGAACACCTAAAACATGTTCACTTCTGGTGTGTGTTAATGGGCAGCAGCTAATGTTGTTTTTATTGTGTCATGAATTCATTTGCAGATTATTTTCTTTTTTACATGTCTATTACAATGTCTCTCACATTGTATGTTTAGTCTGAGCCAGTTTGTAGCCAGTTTGTCAAAAACCCAAAAGGTATTCAGTTCACTATCACACATGACAATGAATAGAGACAAATCCACACATTTGAGAAGCTGAAACCAGAGAATATTTAGCATAATTTCTCTAAACATTACCGGTAATTGATAACCAAAATAAAATAGTAACTAATCATTTCATCTCTAAACCTTGTGGCCTGTTCTCATGCAGATGCTATAGGTGGTTTTTGCCCAGATTTTAAGATATCTGCCACTAACATTCATGCCAACAACCAGAACTAATTGGGGTTAAAAATAGTTTTGTAAATTGACATAAAAACTGTCTCTGTTTCTCTCAATAATCAGCAGAACCGGCTGTGAATAGTCTTAGTTGTGAACTGTTGTATGCCTGAGCCAAAACCTCAATTAGTTATTCACACACACTGACAAACAAGTTAGATTGTACGCCAAATATATTTATTAATGTGCACTTCACTCGAGCTTGTAATTGAGGTCCTGTAAATTCAAACCTGGAATTCATTCTGTTTGAATATTTTTTTTATTCTCATCACAAAGGAGAGAACTTGCTTGAAGAATCAAAGTCAATTATTTCTGTCCTGTACAGTCAGTGTCTTGAATAGGTGGCACTTAATTTCAGTCCGCTGATCGTATGTGTTTACCCTGTTTGTGTGTCTGTCCTGCAGGGCGTTGTGAAAGATATCCACGATGACTCTCTCACCGTTGCCTTTGAGAACAAGTGAGTTTTTCTCCCTTCTCCTGTATTCAAGCTGTCCTCATGAAACATGTTGAGTTCAACATTTCAATGTAGGACCGTGTTTTAACAAGGTAAGACATGACCATCTTGTTTACAGTTGGCAGCCAGAGCGCCAGGTGCCCTTCAATGATGTCAGGATGCCACCGGCCGCTGACAGCAAGAAGGAGATTGGAGAGGACGAGGAGGTGGAGGTGAGGAGGACACACACATAGTCTACTCTTTTTCTTTCCTTGTTTCCTTTCCGATACCGTTGTGTTTGTGTCTCACTCTGTCTCTCGGTCTTCGTCTCCTGTCAGATCCTCTCCAAAGCCAATGATCAGGAGCCTTGTGGTTGGTGGCTGGCTAAAGTCCGCATGATGAAGGGAGCTGTGAGTAATGTTCCTAATGAAGACACGTTTCTATACTATACACTTAATAGTTACATGCATATTAATGCCAACAATATTAAATTCTTACTGACACTCTATTGTAGTGTTATTATTATATAGTTCATTAAAATTGACCAATATTGCAGCTATCGATCTATAATACTTTATAACTAGCAGAGTGTTGAGTGAAGAATTTAGCTAAAATACATTTTTTCTTGTTTTATTAAAATACTTTTTTGCAAACCTGATATTTCGCTATTGTTATTCAAACTGTCAGGATTTCAGATTTTCACTATATGATTATTGTTTGCCAGAAAAAAATCATAATAACAATATTATCAGGATATCAATAGGAAATTTGAAAAAAATGAAATGCTACTCGTCAAATGCATCTTTAAACAGACAGTTCACCCCAAAATCAAAAATACATATTTTCCCTCTTACCCGTAGTTTTATTTATCAATCTAGATTATCATATTGTCATATGTGTATTATTGAAATGATATCAATATTAATTTTTTTGGATATCGTGTTTATCATCATTAGCTGTATATCGTGACACCCCATAATGAGATATATATATGTCTGTCTTTACAGTTCTACGTGATAGAGTATGCAGCCTGCGACGCCACCTACAATGAGATAGTGACCTTTGAGCGTCTGCGTCCAGTCAACACTAACAAGGCCATCACCAAGAACTCCTTTCACAAGTGCACTGTCCCTGTTCCTCAAGATCTACAAGAAGCGTATGTACAGCAGCTTTACACCAATGAGCGTAGGGAGGGATACATCTTAAATACACATGCTTGTTCTCTTCATAATTAACGATACAGAAGATTGTTTATTGTAGGTGTTACATATGGTCTGTACTTTTGTCTTAAGATTCATCCAATCCTAATCACCTGTCAGCGGTGTGACAGATGTGCGGGTAAACCATTTGTTTACATAAGGAATTTGGCAAATTTAAAGTAATACATTTTCCTCATATTGCAGATGCCAGAGTGAGAATGCCCATAAAGAATTTAAGAAAGCCGTGGGAGCCTGTCGGATCTCGTACTGCCCTGAGACCAGCCAACTAGTGATTGTGGTAACTGGCTCACTATTAATCCTGTGGGGACATTTGGATATTCATAATAGCATCTCAACTACTATATGATGTGTCGCAACTTTGTCCTGCTGATGTTTGTGCACTGGATGACTCAGCTCTTCCTTTCTTTCTAGTCGTCATCACAAAGGGAGCAGCTCAAAATATGTTAATTCTTCTTTTATTCCTGTGTGTGTGTGTGTGTGTGTGTGTGTGTGTGTGTGTGTAGTCCACCAATGAGACGACAGTGAAGCGTGTTTCTTTGCTGAGTGACATGCACCTGCGCAGCATCAGGACCAAGCTGCTGCTAATGTCCCGCAACCATGAGGCCACAAAACACCTGGAGGTTAGTTGGCGATGAGGTCGCTGTGGTTCGGTCTCGATGGTAACCTGGAGGTCACATGGGCGGCTTAGTACACTTGGAGGGGGGACAACTAGCAACCTTAAACCTAGTCTGAAGGGGACATGAGGGGCAGTTAATGACAATGTGACCATACCAGATGAAGTTATAAAGTCTAACTTTTTATACGACACTTTGGGTGTCCGTCAGAGCAAAGTGCTAGTGAGTGCTAGTTAAGGAGTTTGTAATAAAGAATTGGAGTTGTCCTCAATACCATATTTGGAGCTAAGACGCTTCAGTGAGACATATTCCAGGATATGAACCCCTGAAAAACAAGTTTGCACATATGTAGGCCCATAAACAAATGAATGAATGAATAGACTAGCCTATGTCTCTCTATCAAGTTCCTCTGCTGTGTTTCAGTACCCGGGACAGCGACACACGGCCCCTCTATAGCGCTATCCGTCTGAGAATAACCAATAATAATTCATGTGGATGCATAATAAATAATGTGTTACTACTATTCTTTATGTCATGGGCTATTTGGAATTGTTGGGGTAGTGCATGTATAACAATGAATAATGTATAATAGCTATTACTCCTGATAATGAGGACAGATATACGATGTGTGCACTGTACTTCAGATCAGAGAGAAGATTATTAATATTTTCAGCACCTTCAATTATTTTTTGAATTTTTGATAACATTATATCTGTCCGTTTTGGCTATAAAAATAAAATTCAAGTATTGTGAAAAGATGAACTGACGACAACTGAACCTCTGCTCTTGTGTTTGTGCAGAGCTCCAGGCAGATGGTGTCGTCCTTCCAGGAGGAGTTCATGGTGAGAACGGATCTGATGGGCCTGGCCATCGGCAGCCACGGCAGCAACATCCAGCAAGCACGGAAAGTTCCAGGTGTCTCTGCCATTGACCTCGATGAAGAGACTGGCACTTTCAGGATTTACGGAGAGGTAGGGTGTTTTGTGCTTTAGTGTTGGAGGACACATGAGTGGCTCAGTGATGGGTGAAAGGAATGAATGAATACAAGCCTTCACAGCAACAAATGTAAAGACAAACTAAGTAAACTTATTACGACTGAGTGACCGTATGCGGTTTGTAGAACATATAGATTGACGGTGCATGTGTGTTGGACGTATGACAGATAAAGTAACCCTGTGTTGTCTTTCAGACAGCGGAGGCAGTCAAGAAGGCCAGGAACTACCTGGAGTTTTTGGAGGACTCTGTCCAGGTGCCCAGGGCCCTTGTCGGTACGTGGACACACGTTTACTCCCTGAGCTGGAAATCTTCAAAACTTGTGTTTTTACTTGGGGCAGTCACGGGCAACTGAAAATGAGATGCTCCATACGTTAGTCATGATCATAGTGCCACATCTAAAATTCATAACAATATCTGTGCAGCTCCTTCATATACCATAGTTATCTACTCCCTTATGAGGTGATCTCAGTTTGGCTAGTTCATCATCTTCTCCCTGCTTTGTGTCCTCAGGCAAAGTGATCGGTAAGAACGGAAAGGTCATCCAGGAGATTGTGGACAAGTCCGGTGTGGTGAGGGTCAGGATAGAAGGAGACAAAGACAAAGACAACAAGCAGCCCCGACAGGAAGTAAGCCTGCTACTGCCATATCATTTCTGCTACTGACAAAGCTGATTGTGCAGTACTGATAAGTGTCACCGGTTTTGTCTTCTCTTATTTCTATGCATCCAGACACTTTCTTTGCACTTGGTTCAGTCAGTCCCGTACTAACATGTGTTGTGTTCTTTTGTTTTGTCGACACAGGGAATGGTCCCATTCACCTTTGTCGGTACTAAGGAGAGTATTGGCAATGTTCAGGTCTTGCTGGAGTACCACATCTCTTACCTTAATGTAAGGATACCTTTGTGTGTGTGTGTGTGTGTGTGTGTGTGTGTGTGTGTGTGTGCGCTAAATAGGGTTAAAGGGCTTGTTTTTCATGCATGTTTGTCTATTTTCCCCTACATCTTCATATGTTTATATATGTGTATATACAGTATGTATAAACCAAAAACACAACACATATGTATGTGTGTGTATATATACTGTGTGTATATATATATATAAATATATATATAGTATATGTGTGTGTGTGTATTAACAGTATTTTTATAATTGGGATGGCCAGCATTTACTTTGGGGCGGTGGTGGTAAAAGTTAAGTTTTAGTTCTGGTGTTGCAACACCAGAAAAAACAGCAACTCCTTTAAAATGCATTCCATTTTGAGGCTAACAGCTCAGTCAGCCACAGTTTGGTGGGATGTGTGATGGAAATATCCACGGCACAAGCAGAGGAGTGTAGGGAGGTGAAGTTCATTTGAAGAAAATCACCAGCGGGAGGGGACGTCTGTGATTAACAGGGAAGAGCGGGTTGTCCCTTTAATCACAAGATTGCCAGCTCCTTCCCCGACTCCTCTTGTCCTCAACGTCAAAGGGTTCTTGAGATGAATGTGAGAATGAAAACAACGTTTCAGTTTAGGCTCGACATTGACTTGGAAGTTTTACACATTGACCAGCTGGACATATAGATTATTACCATCTCTCGTAAACGATGTCCTGGCAGGAATTCTGATTATTATCATTATTTCCGTATCTATATGTCTACAGTGTTAATTGTGAATGCCATACAAATGCTTTATAATCTTCATGTGTCTTGACTTTGCTGCTCTGCGGTGTGTACGTTTTGCACGCATGCACGTGTCCTGTGTTGATGCTTTGTGTGTGTTTTGCACGGTGTGTGTGTGTGTGTACGTGTACGTGTAGGACATGGCGGAGCTTCTTGCAGAAGGCGAGCAGCTAGAGGAAGAGCTGTGGCAGATTGTGGATTATACACAGGGAAGCAGCCTAGCAAGATTCAGAATATGCAACACAAGGCACACTGGATGTGATGTAGATGTGTGTATGATGATTATGCATTTGTATCCAGTGATGACCCTACATAAGAAAAGAAAAACATTTCTCAGAGATTCTCTTCATTTACTGAAACAAAAGAAGTACAATTGCACACATGTTCTGTTTCTTGCTTTTCCTTTCATCTGGTTTTCTTTCTCTTTATTCTTACCATTGCCCCTGTTTCTTTTTTTTTATCCTCTAGGAAGTTGAGGAGCTTCGTCTGGAGAGGATGCAGATCGATGAACAGTTACGTCAGATCACCCAGGTTCATCGCCAAGGTGACCGAGAGAGAGGAGAGAGAGGCGAGAGAGGGGAAAGAGGAGAGAGAGGGGAAAGAGGAGGAGGAGGAGGAGGAGGAGGAGGAGGAGGAGGAGGAGGAGGA